ATTGAAGCATGGGAATGGTTATTTTGGAAAAATAGTTATCATTAAATATTATTTGAATAAATAATTTTGTAATAGTTTTACTATAAAATATCTTTTTAAATAAATCTATTTAAGTATCTCTATTTAAATATAGATATATCTGACAAAATGTTAAAAAGTAATGATTAATGAATCAATACTAATAGTAGTAGTGTTGCAAAGGCAAAATTTACTGGAAAATTGTGAAAATTTACCGCCTGTTAAGTTACTAAAAAAAAGTTTAAGCAGTCTTATATAGAGAAAAAATAAAATATTTGTTCAACATTATCATATTTAATGATATTTATTATAATTATTTTGGAAAAATAATTATAAATATCATTATCATGGAAAAAAGGTTATTTGTTATTCTTTCAATGTCATTGTTTTATCTTTAGTATCATTTCAATATTTTACATTTTAAAGTTTTTTTTGTTATTAATATTATCTTTTTTTGTTATTAATATTATCTTGATGTTATTTCAATATTATCTTGATATTATCTTCTTAGGAAATTTGAAAAATGACATTCTTCATGAAGAAAACTACTCGAGTAATCATTCAGAAAAACATGATTTTAAAGAGTTTAATGGTCTTGAGCATGAAAAACAAAAAAAACACTCATTATCTTCAATTTTTAGTTTTCGAAAAGACAAAGAGTCTTCTCAAAATGCACAGCATTCCTTTTCAACTAGCTTTGATAGTGGACAAGCTAATTCATCAGTTATAGAACCATCTGTTACTTCTCCTCATGGAAAAACTCGAAGGCCTTCATTTTTCAGACTTTTTCATAGGAAATCCATTGATCACACAACAGAGCCTCAAATCGATAACTCTGAAATCACCAAGTTAGAGCATGATACCAAAATTTTACCAAATGAACCTATTACTTCTAGTATACCAGGTTCAAATATTATTGAAAAAGATAATTTTTTACGAGATAAAGTTAATCTTGACGATCAATCCATAAAAAAAGATAGAGTCTCAAAATCACTAAGTATAACAGTAAATAGGAAGCAAATAGTCTCGCGATCTGAATCTCAAGAATCTATTGAAGTTAGTCAGAACAACATTACAGTAACTGATACTTCAGTGTTAAGCTGTTTAAAACAGGACAATAATGACGTATTTTTAGACGAAAAATTTGAAGATACTTCAAAGTCTACTTTGAGTGTCCCATCATCGAACCAGATGTTTGGAAGTCAGGATTCAGTGTATGACAGTGAAACTAGTACAAAAAGATACAGTAAGAATAAAGAGCGTATAAAAAATCGTAAGGCTGCTAAAAGTGTCACTGAGCGTGCAAAGTCCCTTACAATTGAACCTGGTGATATGGAAATTGATTTTACTAATGCTGCACAAGTAGGAAAAGCTATAGAGTCTGTTGAGAGTATTGACAAATCTAACATTGATAGTTCTAGCATTGAATCGTCATTCACACCTAGAAGTTCTAGAAAAAAACACAAAGCAAGAAGATCGAATACAGAGTTTATTACAAATGTTCCTGAGATATGTTTACAACCTTCAACACCTGTGATGACTCGTGATGATGGTGTAGTGTTAAGAAGGAACAATAGACGCAACAATAGGCAAAATCGTCCTAAAACATTACTTAGTGGATTAGATTCTGATATGGTATTTTCAGAAGGTAAAAATGATAGAGGATCAGGAGTAATAAATGAAAATTTAAGTTTTGCTGAAATAAAGAAAAAACTTCTTGAAGGTTTGCCTGATAATACCAACACTAACGTTTCTCCTGAAAAAATTAACCCTAATGAAAGACAAAAAATTAAAAGAACTAGGTCAACCAAAAGATATAAAACTATAACTGAAGGTATTGCTCCTCGTGATCTTGAACTTGCTAAACAAGCTGCTGAAGCTGCTCAGCAGCAGGACAAAAATAGAGAGTCTTTGAATAAAGAAACATTTCAACAAATAACTGCTGCTTTAATGTCAAATGCTGATAAGCGTAAAAGTTTTTTAGTTGAAGACCATTCAACAAATTTAAAATCTAATGAAGAATTAGGTACTTCTCGTTCAAATCTATCTAATTTAAAACCAAATAGTGAAATAAATCCGCCAACAATGCTTAAGCGAACTAAAAGCATGACAACAATTAATATAAACATGAATGTTGAAGACTCTAATGAAGAAATTAAGCCCCTTTCTGAAGTAAAGAATCGTTTTTTACAAGCAATGGAGCACACAAAACAAAAACATTTAACAAAAAAAACACCAATTGATTTGAACACAAAGGTTATTTCACAAAGAGAAAGGCCTCACACTATTGCAGGGTTAGACGATTTGGCCATGGATAAATTACAAAATGAAATCAAAGCTGAAACAGAAAAAGAAAAACATAAACAAATAGTAGATAAAGTTGAAAGGAAATCTTCAAAAGAAGTTTTGGCAGAGAAAATAGATGTGAATAAATTATCAAATACTATTGGAGAAGAAGCAACTCAAAAACGAGAAAAGAAACGTTATACACGGTTAGATAGCAAGAAACTTTTTGAAGATCTTTTCGATGATCTTGATGACATAATGAATGAGGGTGAGTAAAACTAAAAAATTTATTAATATAATTATTAATAAATTAATTTGTTATTATTATTATTATTATTACTATGATATATTACCATATGATACTAGTAATAATATATTATTATATTATTAATAGCAAGTTTAATTTATAGCAAGTAATTATTTTTTAATTAACAATAATTATAACATTGTTTTTTTATTAACTGTAGTTGTAATATGTTTTTTTTATTTTATTTGTTTTACTCGTGTTACAGGTATGGGAGCTAATTAAAGGAGGTGTGGGATTTTAGTCCTGATCTAATAAGCAGGAGAGAGGAGAGTCTTAATAATGGATGTTAATTTTTTCTTAAATCTTATTTCAATTTAATAATAGTTTGAAGTAACCAACCAAAAAAATAAAATTCATTTTATCATTGGACAATCAAAACCTCCTATATCCAAGTCAAGGTTTTATACAGAACATGCATAAAACAATGTAATTCTAGTGTGGCTTGCTGTCAAATGGACTTTTTTAACAGCTGCTCTATTATAATTTCAATAGGATTTAATATGCTTATATACGTTTTATAATATGTTGAGGAATAAACCAAAAGCATTTTGATAACTTATGCCTATGAGTTTGTTTTTTTTTATCAGTGACCAGTGCTTAGTTTAATTTTTTATAAAGTCCTGGACAAATTGTCTGGTCAAAACCTGTTTGGATTGGCCAGTGTCCAATCAATTTTTTTAAAATATAATTGAACACAAACCATTTTTTAAAAGTATTATTATACATTCATAATTGTTTAGTTAAAAAGAGCACAAGAACACCTTTTTTACTCTTGACTTTAATTGTCAAGAGTAAAAAAAGTACTAAAAAAGTACTAAGTGAAAAAGTAATTAAATATCATTAGTAGTATTTTTATTTTTTTATTTATACACTACAGTCGAGGAGGCTACTCATTTTTTTAATTATTTTTGTTTTTTGTTGTAAATCGTGGTACAACCCTTTCTCAACTCTTTAACTCCAAAACACGAACCTTAACAAGCAAGGCTGCTGCGCGGAGAAATTAAGTTGAGCGCGGTACTTCCAGGGACGTGGTGGGAGTCAAACTCCGAACCTCTCGCTTACAAAGTGAGTGCTCTTACCACTACACCACTACGGCAGTATTAGTAGTATTGTTACTATTTCTCTTGTTACTATTAACATTATTAGTTTTTTATTATCGGCATTAGTAGATTTTTATTTTAAACACTTTTGGCTAAAAAGATGACACTACCAACACGTGACACTGTGGACAGAACTTAATCTTTGCTACTTGATTCTTGAAATTAAAAAAATTAAAATATTATTAGGATTCATTAATGCAACATTTATTATATCTTTTTCAAAGATCTAAAAAAAAAAAAAGCTGCTTAAAGCGTGTACACGAAATAAATGTGAAAGTACTCTTCAATTTTTATTTCCAACCAAGTAATAACTTTAATACAATAATATAAGAAGATCAAATATAAAAAAAAAATCAAATTATTACTGCGGGAATCTAATAAAATTTTGAACTTTTGCTTTGGTGGTACCCATAAGCTTGTGCACAGAATAAGAATTGAAGCCATTTAATGCTTTTTAAAATGATATTTTAATATCTTAAATATTTCTGCAAAGTTTTTTTGTTTTTTTTATTTTTCTTTTAATAATGGCCCAGTACTTTTCAATAACTCTTGATTCTGGGCAGTTTAGAGGATTTTCTGTTTTAGGCACAAATTTCACATTATTATTTTTATACCATTCCAAAGCTAGTTTACAATAATGAATTGAAGCTAAATCTGGCCAGAACACAGGTCTCTTATCGTGTGATTTAATGAGAGGTAAAAGACATTTTTGTAAACACTCTTTAACATATATTTGATCCGAAAGTGTGGACTGAGAAATATAAAGTGCTGATTTTTTGCCACAACTGCAAATAGCTTGCCAAATCAAGACATTTTTAGCAAACTTGTCATGTTTTATGTATTTAAATTTCTTATCTGCTTTTCCTCTACATTTGGTAATATAATAGATGGCACCAGGAATTTGCTGATGATCGTACTTGATATAAATTTCATCGTCTTCAATAATACAGAAATTTAGAAATAAAATTGTCAAACAACTTTCTGCAGCAGTTTTTCACACTTTTTTGTTGAATTTCAGATCGGTTGGGTACTTTTTGTACTTTGAAAGAGTGAAAACCATGTTTATTTTGAACTCTTACAACAAAACTATGAGAAAGTCTATAAATGTTTGCGCGCTCCCCTAGTGAAAAGCTTGGGTTAGTCTTAAAACTGTTAATCAGTTTTCTAACTAGTTTTTTATCTTTGAAACCCTTCTTTCTTCCACCACCAGATTTACATTTGATCGATTTTGTTTGAAAAAAATGTTGGATTACATGAATAACAGTGTATGGATGTATTTGCAACGCTTTTGCTATCAAATTGTAGCTACTATTGGGATTTTCCGAATATTTGTGCATACTTTTTTTCTCCTATGTTTTCTTCTTTTGTCATTTTTAAAACTAATTTTAAGTTAAATTAAAAAACTAATACATTTTTTCGAAACCACAACAACATTGTAAACAAAATACATTTTTTTGAAACCACAACACATTGTAAACAAAATATAAAACAATTAAAAAGATTTTAGTATAACCACTGAAAAAAAATGACATACCTGTTCTTTCACATTTATTTCGTGTACACGCTTTATTTAAAGTTAATTTGCTCATTCACATTCTTTAATTGTGCATTTTACGCTTGTTTTAAATAAACAACATATTTTATAAGTTTGTCTAATAATTTACATTAAGTTTAAGTTTATCAACTTTAAATTATTTTATTTTTTAGAATTCATAATTCCTTCGGTCAAAATATGCAATTACTTCGTAAATTGATTGGACAATTTGAGATTTTAGCCAGACTATGTACCGTTAAATTGAGCCCTGAGTGACTAATTTTTTTTTTCTTTCTTGTTTTTAAAAATATTAAAAGTTTGTTTTATGTCTCGTTATCTTAAATATGTTATTTAGATAAAAGTATAATCTTAAACACCATAAAAAGCTGCATCAGCCTCTGCATTAAACAAAATTAAAATCTCCACAATTATTTTCAATTAAAGTGGAAAGTTTATTCCTTAAAAAATCTGTTTTTGTTGTTTTTTTAAATAAGTGACTTGAAGACAATGTTTTAGAATTAAATTTTTTTTAAAGCACTAACACATTCATAAATAGAGTTTGTACACAACTAAAAAAAGTACTATCATAACAAGGTCTGTAATATATTTTAAAAACCTATGATCTATAATTGGTTTTTGTATACTTTATTATTAATTTTTTAAATTTTATTTACTCCTAACAAGGCAGCAAGCAACCGCTATTTATTTGGGAGTTACTAGAAAACAATGAATATAGTTAAAAAGCAAAGAAATGGTTGACAAAAAACTTTGAAAGTTGTAGGTTGTATGAGTCAGGAAAACATGAAGATGAATGAGAGTTATGTGACTATTTGAGTCTTTACAAATCAAAGGATAGTACCCATCAGTACTGAGATCTAAAAAAGAAACAGCCAAGTTTAAATTAGTCTCACAATAAATAAGCAAGTCTGGCAAATTTCGCAAGAGGTAAGATTCAACTGATGGAAAGTTACTTAAAAACCATGAATAGTGAAAGATATATTGAAACAGTTAGGTGGTGGGGATAGCTTATTATGTTTAATATTTTTTTGTTACTTTGGGCATAGTTTAAGTTTAAAAAGAACTTGACTCATTCATAGATAGAGCCTGGCATCCATCCATTGAGCTATGCAGTTGTCTCAGTCCTGCTAATTAACCTAAAGTCGTAACTTAGGGCTCCTTATGTGGTCTCTACATTGTACACCAAAAGCATTAACAGGGAAACCATCCATGCACAACATAGCACTGTTAATACTCTGACATTTTCCAGCTGTTTATAAAATCAGCCTCTCTGTGAGCTACCATAGAGTTTAGGAAGCCTTACTACCAGGTGGCCTGGTAGTAAGTTTACCAAACTTAAATTTTATGCAGTACTGGTAGTATGGCGCTCAGCTTGTGAATTAACGTTAAAAAAGGTAAACCCTACAAGCCAACAGGGCATAGCAGATAGTACTGGGTTACATAATACCGTTAGCTCTATACTAAACCAGTAGAGGAAGTTTGTGTACCTAGGGCCACCTTACACCTAGTTACCCCACTTTTTTTGAAAACTATAAAGTTCTAAGTGATGCCACTCAGTCAGGTAATTAGTTATAAAATTTTTTTTTAATTAAATTTTGATTTTCAGAGAGCGTTGTTAAAACAAGTCATAATTAAAAAATGCTTTTTGATAGTCTAAAGTAAGTTTTTGCTGCTGGTATCTTAGATTGTTTTACAATCCTAGAGAAAATGCTTTCCTGTAAGTTCTTGTATATTATATTGTTTGTTACTTAAGTACTAAATGCAATGTTCGATGTTCAAGTTTCCTCTCAATCGGGGTTCATTAATATATGGCATTTTTCACGAGGCTATTATTTTTTGTATCTAGGGCCATATAGTTTGCTTGTACCTAGTGCCATATGTGTTTAAAGAATTTGTTTGATAAGGAGGTAGATTGTTGAATTTTGATTGTTGCAGAATTTTTTTTTCTTGTGATTCTTTTGGAATTATAATATTATGCGTAGACTTATTTCTCAATTTTGCCTGAACTTTTTATTCAATTTTGTTATTTATTTAAGTGTTGCAATTAAATAACACTAGAAAAATTTGTACAATCTAAGATTAAATAAATTTTTATTCAAATTTACGTCTACTTTTGTTGTCACTTTATTTTGGAATTAAACCAAATTTTCAGAAAGTGGCCCTAGGTACATTTAAAAAAAAGCTACTTGTATCTAGGGCCACTGATTTTTAAACCCTTCTACATGATAACCTTTTATATTTTAAGTCAATATACTTATGTTAATACAAAGTACTTAGTATAGAGATGTGATCATATCAGTTTAACCATTTTTTGACAAGTCTGAGTCTTTGATTTTAGGCATTGAAAAAATCTGGCTCTAGATACAAGAACTTTCTTTATATGTTGTAAATAAATATATAACCGATTATTATATATTTCAAGAAATCTAAAAATAATATGTTTTCTTAAATATTTTTTTTAATACTATTTAAAAAAATTTTAATAAAAAATACATAATAAAAAAATAAACTAAATGAAAATGCATTTGAATATACAAATATTTAATACAATGAGTAAGGTTGACACTAACTTCAGCTCTAAATTTTTCAGTTTTTAAATATAATTTTTTTTTTTTTTAATTTTAATTTTATGTTGTTGAATTGTTTTGAAGTTGTTATACAAAAATATATTTTAAAAGTCATTTTATTACATATAGTTATACAAAAATATGTTTAATTACATATAGTTATCCATGCTTTTTTAAGGTGTTACAGAAACTGATTTAGCATCTGCACTGGAATGCAATCCATCTCTACATTATTCTCAACAAAATTTAAGTAAAAAAAAAGTTAATGATCTTGAAATGTTTGATTATAAAAACGCAGAAGATAAATACCTACTTGAAAGGCAACAGCATAAAACAGACAATCAGCTATCAGATCTTGATTTTGTATCAATGATGTCTTTAAAGTATGTTTAAATAGCTTTAAGATAAATTATTAATAGTTTATTGATGTTTATTGTTGATACTTTCAACATAAATTATTTTTAATTTATTGAATGGCTAAATAAAGTTATTTTTTAACATAAATTTTTTTTTAGTTAATTGATTTTCGTAATCAAAATTACTATTTAACATAAATTATTTTTAATTTATTGAATACCTAAAGTTTTTTTTATATTATATTTGTTATGTTTTTGTTTTTAAATTGCAACCTAAAGAGTGATTAAAATTTAGTGATTAAAATTTAGTTATATAAAAAGTATCTTTTAAGAAAATTGTCTTTTGTAAAAACTTGTAAAAATTTTGGTGCATTTAATATTTTCAATGCAGTAGTAGGCTAGTGGTTGACTCGAAATCAAGAGGTTTTAGGTTCAAATACAACATACACCTCTGCCTAATGGTCTTGTTCAACGAGAATTGTATTTTAGAGTTTAAGGTAGTAAAAATATTAAAAATTAAAGTACTAATCAAACTAAAAATTAGTTTCTGAAGTCTTAGGTTAATTAAATAATATGAAAAAAAAGTATTTAAATATTTCCAAACAAAAACAATTTTGCATAACCAAGATTTTACATTTTTATCTTTTCAGTTATCTTTTTTTTTTTGCTACTATATGATATAGTATTATTGCATTTTGTTTTACATTTTGCCTTGTTTTTAAACTATAAGTGTCAAATAAAAAAATATTATGACTTATATTTTATTTTTTATCTATCTTGATTTTAGTCTTTCGTCCTCATCAACATCTGACAAGCGCAACATACGTCCCCAGCGACATCATAAAACTGTAACAAATCCAATAAAATTACTCCAACAACGTGATGATCTTATTGACGAAACAGTTCTTGCAACAACTGCCAAGGTAATTTTTAGTTCTTTGAATTATTTTTATATAAGATATTTTTTATTATAATAATATCTTATATTAAATAAGATATTATTTAATTAAAATTATTTCACTTTGAAAATTAATTTTTAGTTTTAAATTTTTTTTTAATTATTAATTTTAGTTTGTTTTATTATTAGAACAATGTCTGTTACCACCAATAAAAATGTTTGAGTGTTTGATGTTACCACCAATAAAAATGTTTTAACATCTGTTTGTATTCTTTATATTTTAACTTAATTGTGTGAAATATTTTTTATATGTAAATAAAATTCATTATAAATTAATTTTGTAGAAATATTTCATGAAGTACAAATTTTTATTAATTTATTTATAAAAAGATTTTAATTTTAATAACTATATACAAGTTTAGGTATTATAAATTTAAGCATTAAATTTATAAAACATTATAAGTATAGAATATTAACTATTAAAAATATGACAAGTTAGAATATTATTGTTTTAGAGAATAATGCAAACATAAAAATTAAATGCAACAAAAGACATTTTAAATACAGCAAAAGATATTTTAAAGTTAGTTCGTTAATTATTATTATTTCAAATTTATGACTTGCTGGTTTTTACTTTAGGAGGAAAAATCTAATTTAAGAGAACAGAGGATTAGCCAAAGCAATGAAAATAAAAGATTTTCTGACAGTTTTTGTAAGTCTCTAAGTCAAAAGAATCATTTTTTACTTTATATATATATATATATATATATATATATATATATATATATATATATATATATATATATATATATATATATATATATATATATATATATATATATATATATGTATATATATATATATATATATATATATGTATATATATGTATATATGTATATATATATATATATATATATATATATATATATATATATATATATATATATATATATACAATTAGATTTGAAACATAACTCGGAGTTTCACGCTTTATGCGATCATCAGACGTTACAAACAACCGTAACAACAACAAAAATTATATACAAAAATACAATACAGTGTTAGCTTAGATGACGTTAAAGTTGCAAATAACAAATTTGTTTTCGTGGCGACATTTTGATATTAGTTCATTTCGTTTATTCAGTAGTTTCAAAGATGACGTGATGATATGGTATTTTTCGGTTAAGCAAAGGTTACATAACTTTCCTCCAGGTTTAAATGGTTCCGCCCTATCAATAACTTTCCACGTAAGAATAGGATTTGAAAATCCCTTTTTTTTCATTTCCCAGATATATTTCGAAAGTTCTGTGGTGTTAGCTTTACTTTCGTATTGAAAGGAATTTTTATGTTTGTACCAGCGATCTTTAAAGGTGTGTTCCGTTAGACCAATATAATTAAGACCACTATCCTGCGGTGATGTTTTTACATTGCAGACGTAAATTATATTTTTACTGAGACACATACCTTGCAAAGGACATTGAGAAGGTTGCCGGCAGTTACATGTTGGAACAATTGTGTTGGAAACATTAGATAATATTTTTTTATTGTGTGAATTAATAATATTGGTGATGTTAGGAAGGCAGCTATAACTAACTTTTAAATTATTCTTATTAAAAATTTTTCGAAACTTATGTGTTTTTGGAAAATGCTTTTCAATTAGATTTAGAAAATTTTTTGCGATGTTGGTTTTTACATTTTGTGAAAATGGAGGATTAAACCAAATAATGTTTCTTGATCTTGATTTTGGTTTTGATGAGGTAAGGTTTTTTTGAAAACTAATCTTTTCATTAAACCCATTTGCTGTTAACGCATTGTTATAAAATGGTGATGCTATATTAAAAACTTCCATGCTAGATGAAATATTGCTAATACGGTTAGATATCATAGATGGTATGGATTTAATAATACTAGGTGGGTGGTTAGAACTTGCGTTGATGTATAATGGGTGGTCACCTGGTTTTCTGTATGGTTGGAAAGTATTTTCTGTCAGGTTGAAGGTAACATCGAGAAAGTTTACAATTTTTAAGTTGGTTTTTATTGTAAGTTTTAGATTAAATTTCTCTTTAAAAAGATGAACGATGTTTTTCTTGATTCTCTCGGATTGCGGCCCATTAATCCCATGAAAACAGCAAAGGCTGTCATCTCTATATAATCCGACGTTTTGCAACCCATAGACTTGACTTAGAGTATGAAGAATGAAAAGGCCAACTAATTCACATACTTCAGCCCCATCATAACTTCCCATAGTGACGTCAAAATTAGGATCTCCATGTTTTTTGACCCAGATATATATAATAATATATTAATATATATATAATAATATACAAAAACAACTAAATAATGACATTTGCAAAATTAAATCATCAGAAAAAATGTTTATTTTTGCGGATAAATCAAATAATATTTACGAACTTGAAAAATCTTCTTACAATAAACTTTTTAGTGAAAATGTAACCAGAACTTACGAAAAATCTGATAATTCGCAATATAATAACAATAATAATGCGGCAAAAGTAATTGCTAAAGACTTAGATATTGACAACAGAATGGAGTGTCTTGCAATGAATACCGCGTTTATAACGATAAAAGATCACAAAGATGATTTTGCCAACAATACTAAATGTCGATTAATTAATCCATCAAAACCAGAACTTGGAAAGGTGAGTAAAATTTTACTAGAAAACATCAACAATAAAGTGAAAAAAGCCACCCTTGTAAACCAATGGCATAATACGGATGACGTAATAAATTGGTTCCGTAATATTAAAGACAAACAAAACTCTACTTTTATCCAGTTCGACATCGAAGAGTTCTATCCTTCTATCTCTAAAGAATTACTTCAAAATTCACTTATTCACGCCAAACAGTTTACGGAAATCTCAGAAAAAACATTAAATATTATAAATCACTCAAGAAGATCTTTACTGTTTACTGAACACAATAGTATCTGGGTCAAAAAACATGGAGATCCTAATTTTGACGTCACTATGGGAAGTTATGATGGGGCTGAAGTATGTGAATTAGTTGGCCTTTTCATTCTTCATACTCTAAGTCAAGTCTATGGGTTGCAAAACGTCGGATTATATAGAGATGACAGCCTTTGCTGTTTTCATGGGATTAATGGGCCGCAATCCGAGAGAATCAAGAAAAACATCGTTCATCTTTTTAAAGAGAAATTTAATCTAAAACTTACAATAAAAACCAACTTAAAAATTGTAAACTTTCTCGATGTTACCTTCAACCTGACAGAAAATACTTTCCAACCATACAGAAAACCAGGTGACCACCCATTATACATCAACGCAAGTTCTAACCACCCACCTAGTATTATTAAATCCATACCATCTATGATATCTAACCGTATTAGCAATATTTCATCTAGCATGGAAGTTTTTAATATAGCATCACCATTTTATAACAATGCGTTAACAGCAAATGGGTTTAATGAAAAGATTAGTTTTCAAAAAAACCTTACCTCATCAAAACCAAAATCAAGATCAAGAAACATTATTTGGTTTAATCCTCCATTTTCACAAAATGTAAAAACCAACATCGCAAAAAATTTTCTAAATCTAATTGAAAAGCATTTTCCAAAAACACATAAGTTTCGAAAAATTTTTAATAAGAATAATTTAAAAGTTAGTTATAGCTGCCTTCCTAACATCACCAATATTATTAATTCACACAATAAAAAAATATTATCTAATGTTTCCAACACAATTGTTCCAACATGTAACTGCCGGCAACCTTCTCAATGTCCTTTGCAAGGTATGTGTCTCAGTAAAAATATAATTTACGTCTGCAATGTAAAAACATCACCGCAGGATAGTGGTCTTAATTATATTGGTCTAACGGAACACACCTTTAAAGATCGCTGGTACAAACATAAAAATTCCTTTCAATACGAAAGTAAAGCTAACACCACAGAACTTTCGAAATATATCTGGGAAATGAAAAAAAAGGGATTTTCAAATCCTATTCTTACGTGGAAAGTTATTGATAGGGCGGAACCATTTAAACCTGGAGGAAAGTTATGTAACCTTTGCTTAACCGAAAAATACCATATCATCACGTCATCTTTGAAACTACTGAATAAACGAAATGAACTAATATCAAAATGTCGCCACGAAAACAAATTTGTTATTTGCAACTTTAACGTCATCTAAGCTAACACTGTATTGTATTTTTGTATATAATTTTTGTTGTTGTTACGGTTGTTTGTAACGTCTGATGATCGCGTAAAGCGTGAAACTCCGAGTTATGTTTCAAATCTAATTGTATTTATTTTATTATTAATTTAATACATATTTGCTCTACTTTTGTATTGAGCACTCTCTACCGAGAAATTACTTTCATTATTGATATATATATATATATATATATATATATATATATATATATATATATATATATATACACACTTTTTAAGTGTATATATATATATTTTTTCTATTTTTAATCTCTTTATTTTGCTAGTTTTTTTTTTGTTTGTTTTTAAAACTTTTTCTGCATTGATTATTATAAAACTTGTTAATAATGTCTTCTGGGAAGGCTTGAATAATGTTTTGTGCTAATCTTAATCTACAATAAAATTATTTTGTATATATATATATAAATAAATATTTATATAATTTAATTGGCTTTTAGCAAATCGACAAGATTTGGATGAAAGTGCAGTGAGTGCACTTCGAATGACTGTTGATTTTTCAAAAACCAAGTTACGTAAAGTTGAAGTTGGAACAAAAAGCAATGGTTTATCAGAGGGTTTTGAAGTCACTAACATCACCAACATTCTTCTACAAATCAAAGGTTATTTAAAATTTTTAATTTAAAAGTTTTTTGTTTTTCAATTTAAAAATTATTTAACATTTTTAAATTTTAATTTGTAGTTTTATTTTTTGGTTTATTAGTATACTCTCGCTTGCATATACTTTGTTGCATATAGAAATGCAGATTTCAACCAGATGTTGCCACTATAACATGTAAATAAATAAAAAAAAAATTAAATATAAAATGTTTATAAATTTTACATTTTCTTTACACTTATTGTAACAGATCTGTACAATTTTGTTTAGTTTTGTTCTCTCTTGCTACAAATTTGGTCTTTTGTTCAATCAAACATTGTTCAATTGATTTAACATATAAAATTAATTATACTTGGCTGGGATTTAATAGGGGCTTAAAAAATATTTCTTTTGTTTACAGAATAATAAATTTCTGCAAAAAATTGTTGACTATGAAATAAAATCGTATATTGATTATAAAATGAACCCATCTGTTAATACCTTAGTTAAAAACTCAAATAAAAGATATTTTAAGCTTGCATTTATTGGAACTTATTCAAATAAAAGATACTTCAAGCTTGCATTTATTGGAACTTATTCAAATATAAGATACTTCAACCTTGCATTCATTGGAACTTATTTAAATTATACTATAATGAAAATTTAAAAAGTTGTTAATAAATATTGCAACTAAACACTAAATTAAGAGTAAAAGAAGCACTCCACATTAAATGGGAAAATCTCCCACTTAACAAACAAACTTTCCATTATAAAATTACCTATCTATTTTATTAAAATGACAGTTTATTTTATTTAGATTATATTGATTGGTTATTTACTGAGTCATTTTGTAAATATATGTATATATAATAAATGTACAGTTCAGTAGATTTAACAATTAGTTATGCACATAACAATGAATAATACTGATATTTATTACAAACAAATAAAAGATAATTACTGAAAATAAATCTAATTTTAATAGGTCGTAAAAAGGTACAAACTTCTGTTGTTAACTATAGTGTTTCTTCTTTGAATTCCAACGATTGTTTCATTGTTATTACTCCAAAAGAATTATTATGCTGGTACGGTGCTCAGGCAAATGTTATTGAAAAGGCAAAGGTATTGACCTGTTTTTTTTTTTTTAATTTTTCTTGACATTAAATTTAAAAAGAGTTTGACAATCATTAAAAGTTTTTACATTTTTTTAATGAAAATAATTTCACAGGCAGCTGAAGTAGCATCACGCATTCATCAAAAAAAAGAGTTTGGATGTAAAGCATTTGAAGTTATATACTGTGAAGAGGGTGGTCAAACAGACAGTAAAATAATGCGCATGTTATCTGAACAAAATAAGCAAGATAAATGGAATCAAGATGGTGATTCAACTGTTGCTTTTAAAATAAACTTTTTGTTTTTAGATTTTTTTTTTTAATTTCTTGTTTTGTAATGTAATTTTTTCTTTAGTGGTGTGAAAATTTTTTTCAGTGTTGAACGATGAAGATTTTGAAAAGACTATTATTTCAGCTTATATGACTTACACTCTATGTGAAGCAACTGACCCACCCGAACTTATTCCAGTTGATACACAGTGCCATAGAATGCCTTCAAAAGAGATACTTCTTTCAAACTGTGTATGACTTTGAGTTTGTGTTGACATTTTTTGTATATTATAAAGCTTTATATTAATTGTTAAAATTTATGAAATAAACTGGTTATTGTTTTATCTAGGTTTTTGTATTTGACTTTATAACTGAAGTTTATGTATGGGTTGGTCAACAAACAAGTTCACAACAACGAAAAGCTATTCAACAACTTGCTTCGGAAAAGTTTAAAGAAGGTCATTACGCTTTTGATCTTGATTCATCTTCTTCAAACATGCATCATCATGGGAAAACTCGTAAAATATCGATGTCAATTAAACATCGCAACAAACACATAAAGAGAGTAAGTGCAATGCAAGGGCGCTACCAAAAAGAAGAAATAGTGAACCGTGCAGAATATGCAATTTTGATGTTATTATTTGAAGGATCAGAATGGGTGATTTTCAAAGAGAAGTTTTGTGATTGGCCTGATGAAAGTAGAATTATTCGAATGAAAGGAGGACCTGAAGGTGAAGTTGTCAAAGTAAGATAAGTTATACTTAATAAATATTAATTTTAGGAGTGCCCATGACACCCATTTTAAGCAACTATTTACATATATAAATTTTATATATTATGAGATAAATAATATAAAAACTGTTTAAAAAATAATTTATTAAGAATTAAGATTATTAAATACATTCAAATTTATATGAATATATAGTTTATTATATATTTGTAATTAAATAAATAACTTACTTTGTGAAGTGAAATTTTTGATTTTTTAAAGTTATACCTAAATTGATATTAAGTATCTCACCTATTTTTATGGTGTCTAAACTTATTGATTAATTACTTAAAACTTACTTTTAATTAACCACTAACTTACTTTAATTAACCATATATGTATATATATATATATATGCAGTGATATTTTTACGCTGAAGACGAATAGTAAGGTTGGGTGCCATATGCAATACATCTCTCAATTCCTCCTACATCCCCCAAATATATGGCTCCACATTAAGTTCTTTAGGAGCTTCTTTTTGCATATTCAGATTTTGAAGAACAGCAGAATTCATTAAATATATGTACGCTGTTATTAACTACTTAAATAAAGAGGATTAATAAAGAAATATTTACATAAACTTAAATTTACAAATTATTAAGTAATGTAAATGTCATTAATATTGAAATAATTGGATTTATATTATACCGCTTGGAAAAAAATAAGCATAAAAATAGTTTTATAAACTTTTAAGGCAAGTTATAAGTTATAACCTTAATTTGCCTCTCAATCATATTGAACTGGCTAGACCAATAGGTAGCCTGATCTAAAATTGGAATATGTGGAGCTTGGTCCCTGAATTTCTTGTAATTTTGATAAGTTCTCTCGCATGACTTATGAGATTTTTTATTGTGGGCATCATCAATCCATAATTTATGGCTAGCTGTAAAGTGTGAATAGCACATCTTTGAAGATGTATAACACTCATGCTAGTGGCAACTCCACTTGCCAAGACTACTGCTGTATTGTACTCTATAGAATGACCATCTTTGTCAAACTCATCAGTTTCTACTAAAAAATTGCCTTTGTCATTGTCAATTTTCTCAATGGTGCTGATGCCGAAGTCACACATCAACTTTATATTCACCTAAATGTATTAAATATGATTTCAATAGTTAATTTAAAATTTAGTGAATATATGTTACAGTATATAAAAGATTTTATTGACATTTTAACAAACATCAAAGCAGTTTTTTTTTTCTAATCATTTTATTCACTGAAAATATTGATTTTAATCATTTAATTTACAGTTTTTCTTTATTTAAAAAAATATGGATGAATTTCAAATTTGAGGCCTAAAATATTAATTTTATTGATTCCAACTTATCTAAACACTTTTCAATAATTTTTTTAGTGCATTCCACTATTTGTTTTCCCTTCGTATCTATCGTGAAAACCAAAAGTTTGATCACAACAATTTGATCATTGTTCAAGTATTGTGCATTTATACCAAGGTAGTGGCGCATATGTCTTGATTAGATTCGACTTTTAAATAAATTAGCATTTTCAATATTTCATTAATGATTTTTTCGCAATGTTTTTTGGCAAGATCGCTAATTTGAATTCTTATATTGTCTAATCATTTTTAATCCAAAATGAAATGAGATCATTTTTAATCCAACTTTTCTGCAAAGCTTTTAAATAGGTTCCCAATCAAAGGCCTATAGAATTTGTTTTTAGAGTAATAAATGTTTATTAATAATTGGCAAAAAACATAATTTTTTAATTTTTAAAATGTAATGCAGCTAAGACTTTTTTTGAAATGAAAAAATAAATATTAAAAAAAAATAATGTAATGAAAGACCTTTAACTAAAACCAGCTAGTTTAAGGTTTCTAAAAACTCATCTTTTGGTATATACAAATTAATTTGCTGTGGTACAAAACACTTTAATATGGGTTGCTGTGAGTGCTGCCTTTGATGGCTATATACTTTCACTTCTTATTCTTTTCTTTTAATTTTTATTTTCTAATTTTTCATTTTCTAACGTTATGAGGAGCTCCGCGTGTTTTCTAGATAGTTGTGTCTTATAAGGTTGCTAATGCGAGCTTTTGCAGCACATGTAATTTCTTTACTATATAACTTGTTACTTTTGCTTTTACTGGCAAGCGCTTTTTTATGCACTTGTCAAAGTTTTTATGGGCTTGTAGGCAAGCGCAAAAAGACTTAAGCACAAAAGCGCTGGTTAAACGGAGAAGACTGGACATTTGTAGCATACTACTTTACATCCATTCAAAATTTTATTTGTACAATGAAAATGTCTGTAGTTTGTATCTGATGCATAGTTCGCTTCCATTACTAGACAAGATTGTTGCACGCAAATAAAGAGCAAATATAAAGAAAGACTGTTGTTATTGCAAGTTATTGTGAGTGTGTAAAGTTTTTGCTTTCTGTTATATATGCTTCACAAAATTAATTATTTGTATAACAACCCACAAAAACATAGTTAGGAAAATCGTTAAAATGACTAGTTATGAATTGGTATTGTTAAAAAAAAAAATTTGTAATTTGTTTCCTAGTATTATTTCTAATATGTCAAATTAAATTAATAAAGTTGCATTAAAAAACAAGTTGTTTTTTTTTAAAGGAATTGTTGCACAAAAGAGTTTTTAATTTATTAAGGTATTTTTAGAAGCTTTTTTGGGCTTCTTTCTGACCTAGTTAGTAGGTTTTTTTACCTATTGTCTAGCTCGTTAGTTTGACATTATACCACTAACTTACAGACAAATTTGATTTTTTATGCATGAAATTAATTTGTTAGTTAAATTTGATCCCTTATCGTATCATAATGCTTTATCGTACCATAACGCTTTCATTGCAATTTTTTATAAGGCGTTATTAAAATTAGAATTTTCATTTTGTTAGCTGAGTAGGCTGAAAACCAATGTACATAATTTTGCAATGTACAAAATGAACATAATTAGCCATAATAATATATTCCATGACTAACATTTTTGTTAAACTTTATAAGTTATAGAATCAACAAATGTTGAATTATGTGCATTATTTTTGGCAAGTCACATAGTTTGTGTTCTTACAAGCTAAAAAATAGTAAACGCAACTATGTTAATATATAAAATAGTTTTATTGTACTTTTTAAAAATTTTCTTTATTCTCTTCGCAAGCATTTGTTGTGCGACGTTTCGCATATTGCCATTTGTTCATGTATAAATTTAAAATCTGATTTAAAAAATAACTGCATATAAAAATAGGGAATTACAAACTGATACTCAATATGGCCAAATGAACAAAATTGGTAAGGAAGGAGGTGAACTTTCCGGTTAAATGTTCTTCTGCAGTGCTTTGTGACAAAACCATCAGGTCTTTTTTAAGCATATTGATAACTAAGAAAATTAAAAAAAGAGCCACAAAATCCTAAAATTCTTATGGACTCCCAAGACTCTAGACTCCAAGCTAAAAAAGGGACTCCTGACTCCGCATCCCTGTTACCTATTTAGTATCCTACTAGGACTTTGGTTTTTAGTTAATGGTTGGACATTTTGTAGAAATGTCTAGTAGTAAGTAATATCAAAAAATCCATTCAGAGAGTCATCCTTTATTTACACATTAGTTGTAAATCTTTAATACTTTTTCATGATTTGTTTTTTTTTTACTTGATTTTTTTTAATGTTTGTAGTCCATTGTAAAGCCTGTGGTTTCTCAATCTAATTGTGTAAACTCATTAAAAAGACTTTAAATATACAGTGAGTGCATAGTTATTATTCAAACCAGTTTATAACAAAAAAAAAAAAACTGTGCAGATTTTTGTTAGGCTAATATTAACATTTAAACTGGAAATATAATGGTGAAAAAGTAAATGTTTCTTGTTACACCTTAATAAATTATTTGTTATATTCTAATTCTTATATTCTCATGTTTATTACATCACTTATTGCAGTCCTTTATAAACATTTGTATGTATCAAACCAAAATTTTAAGGTGAGTTTCCACTCATCCGTTTTTTCATGGGAACGAGATAGGGAAGGAAAAAATAATCAGGTGAGCATGCGTAGTTTTCCTTTGGACATATTAAAAATTATACTATGCATGCCCATGTGATTATTTTTCCCGTTCAATTCCCGTTCCCGTGAAAAAATGGATGAGTGGAAACTCGCCTTTAAAGGTTTTTTTAAATTATAAACTTTGTATATATTTTTTTTTACTGCTCGCTTAATTTTGATTAATTTAAAAATTTATTTAACATACTTAGACTGTAGCAGAACTAACTATTGATCCTGTTGATCCATGCATAATGATACCAGAATCACCTCTACCAAAGTTGATTCTTGAAAGTTATGATATTGGTCGTGGTGGTGGCAACCCTAATGGAATGGATGGTTATCATGTTATAACACTAGATGTGAAAACATGGTTTGTTAGTGAAAATAACTCAATTCTTTTACCAGATAAAAGTTTTGGTCAATTTCATTCTGGTAATACTTTATATGTCTATTTATATCTCTTCATTTCTTTAACAATTTTTTTATTGTTTAAAGATCTTTCAATTTTATACAATTTATTCAAATTAATATATATATATATATATATATATATATATATATATATATATATATATATGTATGTATATATATATATATATATATATATATATATATATATATATATATATATATATATATATATATATATATTTATATATATATATATATATATTTAATTCACTTCCTCAAGGCCTAGAAGGCCACTTCAGATGAGGGGGCTACTTAATTGTGGTTATAACCCTCTCTTAACTATATAACTCCAAAATACAAACCTTGACAAACAAGGCCACTGCGCGAAGAAACAAGTTGAAAATTTAAAACTATTATATAACTATAATAATTATTATATAATTAATATTATATAATAGTTTTGTAATAGCATTTAAAAGTAAACAATTTATCACATATTTAATAGTATTTTTTTTTAGCATTATATTATGATATATAGTACAATGACACTATATAGTATAATTAAAACTATATATTATTACATATTATATCAGGGGCTATTCTAGACCGTTTTCAACAGCGTCAACCGTATTTAGGCGCCAATTTGGGTGCCGCCCAAATTAAAATTTGAGGACTTTTTTGTTTGTTTGTTTGTTTGTTTTTTTTTCAAGAGCGGGAGGTACCGCCGCCCAAAATTTTTTTCTAGAATAGCCCTTGTACATATATTCATTTTTTGACTTAGGTGAGGGTTATGTAATACGTTGGCAGTATCGCATTGTGAAGGTGCGAGCTCTTCGCAATCTTGATGATCCTTTAAAAGCTGGTGGCATAGAACGTTGTTGTTACTTTTTTTGGCTAGGAAATGATTGCAGTGTAAATGAAGAAGGGGCCACAGCTCTAATGACTGTTGAACTTGATCAAGAAAAAGGACCACAAGTATATTTGAAAATTTTTTGATGTTGAAAATTATTAAATTGTTTTTTGTAATATACTATAAATTATTTTTTTAAATTATAATTAGATAATTTTTGTTTATTTAGATTAGGGTGACACTTGGTAAAGAACCTCCAGCTCTTTTAAATCTTTTTAATGGTGGAATGGTTATTCATGCCGGTAAACGTCCTGCACCTGGTCTGAGAACTCAGTATACTGACACCTCCGTTATTCGACTTTATTGCATCCGAGGTGAATTACCTAATGAAGCTTGTTTACTTCAAGTACCTGCAATATCTGAATCACTTCGCTCACGTTCAAGTTTTATACTTTTGTTATGCACTCAGGGTGAAGTGTTTTTATGGCATGGCTGTTGCTCCAGTAGTGAAATTAGAATTGCTGCAACTCATGCTGCAAAACAGTTAATTGCAAAGTAATATAAATTTTGTTAATTTGTTTAGATTACATAAAAGAAAAGATAAAGCACGACTTTTTAAGTTTAATTTTAACTTGAGTTTTCTGTTATGAAACAAAACATAAAGTTTGAAATAAAAAATAGTCTAGGAATAAAGACTTGAATACCTTGCTTTACCATAAATACCTTATCTATTTACAAAACAAAAAAAGACAACATTTCTGAGTTTTGTTAATCTTTACTGGTTTTTTTATTTTATTTTAAATACTTTAGTCACCCTGATGAAGCATCCATAGCTTCAATGAATGAGATTGGTTTAACCGAAATCGAAGAAGGCGAAGAACCTGAAGTGTTTTGGTTAGCTCTTGGTGGACAAGAAGACTATGGAAGTTTATTAGACGGTAATTTGATTATTTTTAGTTTCATAATTTTACTTTTGTTTTAAAAATTTTTTTAAAAATTTGTTTACATAAAATAAAACTAAATTTTTTTTTACAGAACCTGATGTCAAAAGTTTGTCTATTCGATTATTTCAAATGCAGAGCACAACAGGTAAATTTATTTCGCACGAAATCATTTGCCCTTCAAGAAGTGAAAATATACACTGTCCTTTTCCTGTTCTGCAAGATGACTTATATAATGTTGAACAACCAGGTAAAGATTATCTTTTTTTTTTTTTTAATTTTCAATTCATTTTATTTTAAAAGATGGTTAAGCTGACTTTATATATGCAGTCATTTTCAATTTAAAAGATTCAACTTTACTAATTTTAAAAATTTTTATAAACCGTACTAAAGTCAAATATATTTGATTTAAGTATGGTTGTTACAGCTACATACTGGTAATACAGCTACATGAGTAGATGTCTCATACATTGTTTTTAATTAATTTGTTTGTTATCAGTATGTATTTAAATTTAATGCGAAAAATTTTTTTTTTAAATTATTAAATTTTTTTTTACTTAATAAATTTAAAATTTAAAATTATAGAAAAAAAACTTTGTTCTTGTTAATTAATTAAAACATTTATTTTATTTAAATTTTGCTTTTGCAATAAAACTTTCTTAAATAAAACCACTTTATCTGTAAGTATTATGCCGTAAAAAGATGTTTTATTGAGACTGTTAAGATGAAAAAGAAAAGAAGTAATAAAATAAAAATTAAAAGAGAAAAAGAAGTAATAGAATAAAAATGATAAGAGAAAAAGTAATAAGTAATGAAAGTAGTAATAAGTAATGAAAGTAGTAATAAGTAATGAAAGTAGTAATAAGTAATGAAAGTAGTAATAAGTAATGAAACTTTAAAAATCAGAGTTATGTGCTAACCTTGGCATTAAAGCACTAAACTGGATAACTTAAAGTTTATGTTTATTATTATTATTATTATTATTATTTTATTATTATTATTATTATTTTATTATTATTATTTTATTATTATTATTATTATTATTATTATTATTATTATTATTATTATTAAGTATAATAGAAATAGAAACTAGAAATTATAATTGAGATTCATAATATTTTTATCAAGCATCAAACAATGTCGTTTAACTCAATTATAATTTCTAGTTTCTATTTCTATTATACTTATTTTATTAAGCAAAGGTTTAAAGTTTTTAAACTTTATAAAAACATTGGAACTTTATAGGCATTTTAAATTGTATAAAAGATTTTTTTTGAACAAAAGGAAAGCTAAGGTGATACTGAAGTCATGATATCTCGCTGTGGTTGAATTATTCTTTGATCACTTCTGCAAAAAAAGTAATAAAAAATTTATTAATGCACTAGATTGATATCTGTGACCATCGAAGTAAACTAAAATTTTGAGGCAATAAGACAAACTATAAAAATCTACAACATAATAAATAATATCAGGTGGACACGGAAAAATTTGGTCAATTTTAAATTGAGATTTCTCTAAAACCATAAATGCTTTTCAATTTTTTTATTGTTAAAAGTGTTTACATCAACTAGAATTTCAACTTGATTTCAAAGGGCTTGATGGGCTGTTTGACAAGAGATCAAATTTTATAGTGGGTTGATGCCATCATTTGGCAGATTTTTCTTTTTTCACCTTATTGGTGGCATTAATTCGCTTTTTTGGAAGTCCTTTTTATTTATTTTTACTCCACCTGTCCTTTTTATTTATTTTTACTCCGCCTGTCTTACAAAGAACTCCTTTAACTAATGCCCAAAAGTCTTCAATCTTGTGCTCTTCAGGACGATTTAGAGGATTTGCATCTTTAGGAACAATTTTTACATTATTATCTTTGCACCACTGTAGAACTTTTTTAGAATAGTGAGAAGCAGCAAGATCTGGCCAAAAGAAACATCGTTATTTGTGTTTTTTCATAAATGACAAAAGTCTTTTTTGGAGGCATTCTTTGATGTAGAGATTAGCATTCAAGATCTTCTTAGTGACAAAACAAGAGGACTGCATGGCACAGCTACAAATTGCTTACCACACAAGGAACTTAGATGCAAATTTTCCTCGTTGAATATATTTAAATTGATCATCAACAGGTTTATCTTTGTTCTCATAGTAAAATTGTTGATCAGGAAGTTGTGAAAAATATGCCTTGCAATATATTTTGTCGTCGTCAATTATGCACATACTTTTATCCGCCATTATTTTAACCAACTTCTTTGCACCTCGATTTTCTTTAATTTCACCATTTAAGCTTCCCTTAGTTGCATTTTTTTTTATGAAATGCTATAATTCCAGCATTTTTAAGTACTTTTTTGATATAAAAACGCGAAGTCTTGAATTTTCTTGCTAGATCTTGCAGTGACTCGTTTGGATTTCAAATATTTTGCAAATTATTAATTTGTAGAAAAAAAGTTTATCAACACAATTAAAGATAAGGAAGTAACGTTTAATTTAAAAAATAAAAGTAATAAAAAGCATTTTTGATTTTAGAGAAATCTCAATTTAAAGTTGACTGGATTTTTTCGTGTCCAACAGATAATAGTAAATATTTAATGTTTGACTACATGATTATACGAGAATATATAAATAATTTGATAATAAAACAATAAAAAGTTCGTGAATAGTTAAGCAATATTTTCACACAAAAAGTTTAATTTTTTTTTTTTTTATGGTTTGTCCATGCTCTGTTTAGTGTTATTATTAAAAAAAAGCAATTAAGTTCTCCTTTTTTTTGAGTTTTTAAAAGTTGAAATTTTACTTACTACCTCTTAAACATTCAAATTTCAAAGGATTTTTTAATTTCTTTGAAATTTGAATGTTTAAAAGTTTACTTTATTTTGTAAATTTCTTTTTTGTTTTGTTAATAAATTATTATTATATCTTATTTTACAGCTATCTTTATTTTGGATTCCAGTATTCATATATACGTGTGGTTTGGCTGGTGGCCTGATGATGATGATGTTGGTGAAAGCAGCTCAAAGATTAGACGTTGGGGTGAAGAACGAAAGAAAGCAATGGAGAGTGCCTTACTTTATGCTGAAAGTATGTATTTTAAAATTTTTAATTAAGTACCAAGCATTTTTTATAATTTTAAAATATTGGTTTTAAACCAACTTTGTTAAATAGATGAATTTGTAAAATCGCACAGAACTTTTATAAAAAATACATAATATTTATAAAAAATGGAATCATATAAGCTTTGATCACTCTCAGTTCTGCTCAAAATTGTTGTTTATAATTATTTAAATTAAAAAAAAAAAAATAGGTCATTTTTTTGATTATAAATAAAAAACAGTTTTTTTAAAAATCCATAAAAAACAGTTTGAAAGTTTGAAATCCATAAATAAGTTAAATACTTAAATTTAAAATTTGCAGTTACTTTTATAATTTGAAAATCTTCTATTACCAGCTTTCTCGTTCTTTAATTATTCTAGTTATTCCAAATATTCCTTGCTTTCTTAGGAATTTGAAAAGTGACTGGAATATTAGGAGTGTCTTTGTATTTAAAAAAATGTTGTTTTAATCTTTTGAATTAACAAATTATTTTAATGCTCAAATTTCCAAAAATACATTAAAAGTTTAAAAATAAATGCAATACATACTGGATATATTATATTTGTACCCAGTTATCTTTAAATAACAGGAACTAGCCTAAAATTTGGACAAAATAATACAATCGAGGTTATAATACCTCATGATGATTTTATGGATCATTTAAAAATATAATTTTGGAAATAGTTTAGTAGAAGTTATGACAAACCTTGTGAAGTTGTAAAGTAACTGATTTTGACAAAATTATTTTGAATGAATCAACACAAAATTATTTTTATTTTTAATAATTTTTTACTTTTTTTTTTTCCACTCTAATCTAAATCAACATTAAAATTTAAACGTTTAAGTGGTTTTGAATGTTTTTATCTATAAATTTTCTTTTTCTTTTTTCTTTTTTTAATGTTTTTTTATATAAAAGTATAAAATTTAAATTAGATTTAATACTTTTATATAAAAAAAATATTTCAATAAATAAATTAGAAAATACTATTTGTTTTAGAAATGGATCGCGACCCAGATAATATGTATATTGTGTATGCAGGGCTTGAACCAGATTCTTTCATTGACCTTTTTCCATACTGGGTTGTACAAGAGGACATAACTGATTTGCAAATTGATGTGAGTTTTTTTTTTAACTTGTTAGCTTATAAATTTTTTTTAATTTCTTTTAAATTATATTAAATTTTTTTTTGATTTGAATTAGATGGGAATTGAGGAAAACAAACTGTACAAAGTCACTGAAGAGCTGGCGTTATTTACAAAGTATGTTTCTAAATAAATGAAAACAATGTTTATTTTTTTTAGTTATAGATTTCATTCATCGTTTTTTTTTTTAGATTTCATTCATCGTTAATCTTATCTCTTCTAATTTTATTAAATAATATTAAGATTAGTAATAATTAATAATAATATATAATAATAAATGTATATAATAATAATATATGTAATAATATATAATATATATATATATATATAATATATATAATAATATATATATATATAATAATATATAATATATATATATACTAATATATATATATATATATATATATATATATATATATATATATATATATATATATATATATATATATATATATATAATATATATATATATATAATATATATATATATAATAATATATAATAAATATATATAATAATTTAAAATATATATGTATATATATATATATATGATAATAAAAAAATTAATTTTAGTATATTCTAATCTCTTCTAATTTTATTAATATTATTATTTTTTTCAAAGGGAATACTACACCATAGATGAACTCCGTCGTAAACCACCTCCGCAAGGTATTGATCCTACCAAACTAGAGAAATATTTATCAGAGGAAAGTTTTTTGGTAGGTGTATTATTTTTTTCTTTTTTAATTCTCATACTACAAATTTCTGCTACTTCTTTTTAAAAACTATGATAATTTATTCATATCTTCAAAATATGTATGTATAAATACCTGCTCTGTGTATCAGCTCTGTGCTAAGCCACATAGTTACTACTATACAGAAAACCACCTTTTTTATTAATATTGTTTTTGTTTGTGTTTCTATTTCTTTTTCTAAACCTTATGAAAAAATACAAACCAAGTCCATATTTTAGAGAAACTTTAATGAGTTGATTCAATTCACTATAAGAAAATGTTTTCTAATATTTTATTTTAGAAAGTTTTTTTTTTAGAAAATGATTTCAATATCATTAAGTATAAATGGATTGATTTAGTCGAAAAAATCTTTCAAAAAGTGTTCTAACTAACCCCAAGTTAGTCAGACATAGTTGTTAAATTTTGTCTTATTTGAACAAATTCTGGAATTTTAAATATATACTTAAATTTACTATGGGTAATTTCCGACATATAATCAAAGGCATTGATGGCATTGATGACTTTTGAACAAAGGGTTAAATAAACTAGAGACAAAAAGGTTTACATTTTTTGCCAAATTATACCAATTTTATGCGAAATAATGTTTATATACCATTCTATGCGCATTTCAACGGGAAATAATTTGTTAGTTTTTTTGAGATTAGTTAATAAAAATTTTGGTATGTCTTTTTAAAAGATTAAATGTAATAATAAAACACTACACAAATTTATTTAAACCTGAGTAATGTTTGTTTTTCACAGCTCAAAAAATTGTTTACAAGACGTAGTTTTGAAAAAATAAATACACGCTTGTGAATTATGGGAATCTAAAAGCAGGGTTTTATCAAAATATTGCAAACATTTAACAGGTTTAAAATTGATTTTTTTTGATTGCTAGATTCATCCTTTTTTTCTCCACTGTACATAAATTTTAAATTTATAGAAAAAGATGAAATGCAAAAAGTTTTCTTTTGAACTAATAGACATTCTGCCATCTTTCTTGTATTAACTGCATAATTTTTCTTCAATTTACTTAAAAAAACTTGTTTAGAAATTATGTTTTAAAATATAAATGTTATATATATGAAAAAATAATTCGGAATAACACGTAGTTCTAATCACATCCTTTTGTAACAATGTGTTCAACTGTGCAACGATTATAGTATGCCATAATAGTCCATTATTTTATGATGAATATAAATTGAAAGTAATCAGTTACTCAACTAAAATTGGCTAATAGTTGTTTACAAGTTACCAATCTCAACTGATAATGAGATCCCTAATAGGAGATAATTATTTCTTATAGTAATTTTTTTACTTTGTTTTGACAAATGTTATTAATATTTTAGGAAGTATTTCATTTTCAAAAAGCAACATTTTACAAACTACCAGTCTGGCAGCAAGTCAATTGGAAAAAGAAAGTTGGACTTTATTAAAGTTAACTTTTTTAGCTGTTTTTTTAAAAAAGACTTTATTACAAATACGAGTGAGACAAATAGTGTAATCGTGTCTTATTCATTTAAACATGCCATAAACTTTACCTTTATATTTAATTTGTATATTTTCGGCAGTTTCTTTCATATACATTCATATTTTATTGCTTACTTTATGTCAGCACATAAGTAATTCACTATATTACCTTATCGAAGGAAGGACTTGTCGAATGCTATTGACCGGATATTTAAAGATTTGTATTTATTGATTATTATAAAACAAATAAAAAAATATATATATATTAGTATGTATCTATATTCATTTATGAGACATTAAATATTAGACGTATGTTAAATATGTCGTTAAATATTAGACGGTATGTTAAATATGTCGTTAAATATTAGACGGTATGTTAAATATGTCGTTTTTTTGTTCAAGTTTTTTATTTATTTTTTTATTTGATTTTACTACTTTTTTTAACAATGTTAGGTATTTATATATTCAATAAATAACGCCTTTTTTTTTAAATAAAAAAAGTTGCTAAAATTTTCTGTGGATTTTTTTTAAAAATATTTTATCTAGTGTAGATTATCACTACTTAATTGTAAATAAATTAGAACTTCTTTAAAATTTTTATATTATGTTTTTACCGTTACATATTGTAAATAATAATGACATGTTTCAAATATTATTTTTTTATGTGATTTTTATTTTGCACAACTGTAAAAATTCTAAAAAGAATCAAAGAAAGGTTATTTAAGTGTACCATATACTTTCTTTATTTGTTTACTATCTTATTAAAAACAATGGTTTTTAAAAAAAAAATAGATTTTACTTTAAAAACTGACTGATAATCAGATTTTAATAAATCGAAAACTTTGTTTAATAAAAGTATTTTGTGGCAAAATTAAATTGCTTTGTCAAAAAAGCGTTGTGGCGGAAGATTGCTTATAAGAATCTTCATAAGAATCCGTTTTTTAATATTTTGACATCCGCTTCATAAATATTCCAGTTTTTCCGTGACTTTTCGAAATAATAATAAAAAAATCTCTTGCGCCAATTTAATTGAGGATATTTTTATTTTTTCGTTTGAAAAAACATTTTTTTTTCCGTTTCCAAAATTATTAACCTTATGTATAAAATGAAAAACAATAGTTCACTAACTAGCGCTTGCTTTATAAGCAGGAAATCCAGGTTCGAAACGTCACAGTAAGGAAAGAGGCGTGAACTTCCTGGTTAAATGCACTTCCGCGGTGCTATGTGACAAGACCGTTAGGTCTCATTAATAACAAAAAAAAAATTATAAAACTATATTCATCAAAGAAAAAATGCATTTTTTAATTTAAGTTATTGTTTGTACGCGTAAATAACACGAATACATGTGTGTAATACGCGCCTTAGGTACACGTAAATTTTTTTCACAACAATAATTGGTATTCTTTAATATGGTATTTTAGTTCAAGAAATCCAAATTTGTACTTTAAATCAGTATTTTTGCGCGTAAACAACACTTGCACGCGCACGCGGTTTTTGTACGCGTAATTTTTAGTTTTAATAACAAATTTAAACTTTGTGATTCCAAAAACACTGGCATTGATGTATCTTGAGTTTATATTCTCCTCTTTCAATGGTTTTTTTTTTCTCTCAAAAATTTACATTTTACAATCAAACATTTTAAGAGGTCTAATATTGCTTGAGGGAGAACAAACCTGTTTTCATAATTTAAAATAAATTACCGCGTAATGGATATAGTTTAAAGTTAACCAATCCGATTCCATTTTAAAAAAAAAATAATGATATTGTTTCGAAACGTTGTAAGCATCAAACCGTTTGCAAATAAAAGTTTAGAAAAGTCGCGGATAGTAGTATCAAAAACGATTTATCACCTTTGACGATTGGCGTTATGTCTCTGATACTATTGCTGCCCGAAACATAACCAGTGACACATGTATGGTTCTGGGCGTCACAGGTAATACCATTACTTAATTATTATTATACACTTAAACACCAGGGCCCTGGCTCGCACACACAATATTGCACATCTCACTTATTTATTTTTATATTTGTTTATACTTGTTTCTTTATCTTATGACATTTGTTCTATTATTGTATTTATTTTATCACTGTATCATACTTTTTTATTTTTGCATGATATGTATTTGTGTGGTGGGTTTCCACTGTTCTTTTTTCTCTCGTCCATGCTGCGTAGCTTAATTTTTTAATTATATCTACTAAAATGATTATATACCAAGTCATTTAGCGCAAACGGTTAGCGGTATACCTTCTACGGTATCTTATCTTACAGTATATGGTTCGAATCTTACCTCGGTGCGTTCTTTGTAAATACAGGTACGTTTTTTGTAAATATGACTTTTTTGACCTTAAAAGCACTTGATGAGCAATCTCTTTAACTGTAAGACCTCACTTACCCTAATAACTTCTATAAATATAGTCTACGCTTGGGCTGGTACGAAATTCTACTAAAGTCAACCCCGCATGAAATCTAACATAAAGTGTCCTACAGAGAGCACTTAAAATATTAAAAACTAAATAACTTAGACGAGATCGATATTGAAAAATCTTAAATAAAACGACAAACTTTGATTGGCTAGTTTCTAAAATCATGATGACAAGAGGATAAAATCTTAAATAAAACAACAAATTCATATTGGTTAAATTTCTAAACCCAAAATCATGATCACAAAAGCGAAATTTCTTGGGCGAGATTGTTATGGAGTTGTTTAAAGTAAAACGACAAAATCCTAACTCTCTTATCCCAAAACTATGCTCTCAAAAGTGAAATTTCTTAGACGAGATGAGTATGGAGAAGTCTAAATTCCTATTGGTTAGTTTACTTAACGTCAAAACCGTGATAGTCAAAATGAAGTTAAATAACTTAGGCAAGACTACTATGTAAAAAATCCTATATAAAATGACAAAGTCATATTAGTTATATTTCTAAACCCGAGATCATAATGCCAAATGCGAAATTTTATAGACGAGATTACTGTGGAGGCGTCTTAAATAAAACGACTAATTCCTATATCTAGATTACTTAAACTCAAAACTGTGATATTAAAAGTGAAATCTTGTAGGCGAGACTACTATGAAAGACTCTCAAAATCAACGATATTGAAATTTCTTAGGTGAGATCACTGTGGAGTAGTCGCAAGGAAACGACAAATTCCTACTGGTCCACGGTGATCTATACTGAAGGCCTTGCCATCGCGCAAGTTGACTGGGGGCCTATTTTTTTTAACGGCGAAAACAAAACAAAAATGTGCTTAGTAATTTTGTTAACTCAATGAACTTTTTACTCTCAAAATGTTTTATTTTATAATACCCAAACTAAAATTCAAACAAAATATTTCTTAATTTATAAATTTTTCTCAAATTTATAAACGAAAAATCAAACAAAACAATAAAATTATGACCAAAGTCATGCCATATATATATATATATATATATATATATATATATATATATATATATATATATATATATATATATATATATATATATATATATAAATAACTTCAAATTTCAAATTTAATTTATTCGATGTTTCAATGGGAGCATTTGATGGTGCTGAAGTTTGTGATCTTGTGGGAATTTATATTTTGTTTCAAATTGCACATATGATAAGAATAATTTTGGATTGTACCGCGATGATGGTTTAGCAGTTTTTTAAAAAAATGAGTGGTCCTAAAATGGAAAAAATCAAAAAACATTTTTTTAAAATATTTAAAAAAAACAAACTCACTATATCAATACAGTGCAACATAAAAATTATAAATTATCTTGACGTCACATTAAATCTCAACGACAATACTTTTCAACCATATTCTAAGCCCGGGAATTCTACAAACTATATTCATGCGGATTCAAACCACCCGCCTAATATTTTAAAACAGCTGCCGCATTCAATTGAGTTAAGATTGTCTGCAAATTCGTCAAGTGAAAAAATCTTCCGAAGATCTATTCCTATGTACAATGACGCGTTATTAAGATCCGGTTTTAATCACAAACTTTCATACCACCCTAACTTAAATTTACCACGTACCAAAAACCGTAAACGAAACATCATATGATACAACCCTCCTTTCAGCAAAAATTTTAGCACTAATGTAGGAAAAAGCTTTTTAACCTTTATTAACAAACACTTCCCAATAAATCACAGACTCTACAAAATTTTTAACAGAAACACGATAAAAATAAGTTATAGCTGTATACCGAATATGAAATCTTTTTTAAATGCACACAATTAACAAATTATGAACAACAACAAAATTCCACCTAAAACCAACTGCAATTGCCTTAATAAAAATACCTGTACTTTATCAAACCAATGCTTAACAAAAAACATTGTATACCAAGCCAATATAAGTTCCAAGAATCCTACTAACCCTTCTCCCAACAAATCCTACATCGGTTTAAGTGAAGCACCATTCAAAATTAGATATGCCAACCATATAAAATCATTTAACAATCTAAAATACAAAAATGACACCGAATTATCAAAAAAATTTTGGAAATTAAAAGATGCCAACTTAAACCCAGTTGTCAAATGGAAAATAATTAGGCAGTGCAATGCTTACAACCCAGCCACGAAGTCCTGCATACTATGCACATACGAAAAATATGAAATTTTATTTTCCAAAAATAAAAATCTGCTAAACAAAAAAAGTGAAATGGTATCCAAGTGCAGGCATAGAAACAAGTTCCTTGTCGCCCTATTCGACACAGGTGATTGGGCAATTTTATAATTAATTAAAAAATTGTTTGTTTTGACGTCAGAACTCATTCCATTACTTTGTTATGGGTTTTTTCTGTTTATTTCTGTATTTCGTATTTTTTAAAGGTTTTTTCTTAATTTTAAGAATAAAATATGGCTGATGATTGCCGAAGGCCATGAAACTTCAAGTTCCATCACAAAGTTGTACTTTTCATATAATCAAACTCTTTATAATATATATATATATATATATATATATATATATATATATATATATATATATATATATATATATATATATATATATATATATAATAATATTAAGTCTACCACGATCAATTGAGTCTATGTATTGTCGAAACTTTTGGTGGTAGAAAGTTGTTTTTTCTAGCAGCTCATTTTCTGATAGTTCGTTATCTTTACGAGTTAAATACTCTGATATGTATATAAGTGCTATATTTGTATCAGGAGAAATAAAAGTTCAAGATTTGGTAGGTTATTAAATATCTCAGCAGAGGACTCATCCAATAAAAAACCACAATATGGACATGAATGGGTTATATCAAGACATATGTCAACAGCTGGGTTATTAAGTGATAGTAAAAGCTTGGCTCTTGAAATATTCAATTTTTCAATTACCTGTTGTACTGTTATAAAATATGTACCTCCAGAACCTTGTCGCAATTTGCTAAACTCTTTTTCCAATGGATCAGTAGAAAACTCACTAATAATGACATATTGGTGTAAGCTATTCAATAATGATCGACATAATTCAACAACACCATTGCACGTATGGTAAATTGATTGTGCAGTATCACAAGTAAGTTGTTTCTTCTATTTACCTAGCTTTCCAGCCATCTTTAAAGCCATATTTCCGAAAACTAAAATATTTTCTAATCTATTATCATTAGGATCTCTAATTACTGCTTGAAGTTCATCATTAAATCTAATATCTGCACCTGTTCCTTTAACATTGAGAACTTTCCATTATGATACAAAAATGTTAATAAAATCTGCTGTCTTGTCTTTC